TGCTGCTGCTGCTGCTGCTGCTTCTCAGCTCCGATCAGCGCCTCCACCGAGAACGCGTGAGCCTTGAGGCTCAGCACGGTGCAAGGCGAGGCTCTCCTCTTCTCTGCCATGTCGGGCCGGCGAACTGGAGCCCTCCCGTCCTCTCTCTCGCCCCCCGCCGGCTGCTTTGCTCTTCCAGGCCGCGCCGCTCGCCTTCGCTTAGTCTCGCCGCTCTTTTCGCATCCACCTTCTGGCAGCCTGAAGCGGGTCGCCGACGTGGGTCCCCCCTCCGCTTCCCTTCGCGAGCCCAGACGATCCCTGTATGCCAAAGCGGGGCTTCTCGTCCTCCCCTCCTCCTTCTCCTCCCGCAAGCTCTGCCTCGTCTGAGGGGCCAAACAGCTCTGACATGGGTAACGAACGCTCTGCGGACACAAATTAGGGCTTGTAATTGAAATTTGTTGCCTTGATCTGTCAGCACTTCCAGGCAGGAGACCGGTGGGAAGAACTTGCTCATTAGTGTCACTAAAGTGGCTGGGACGGGGCGGAGCCCAGCGAGGAGGAGGGCTGTCAATCAAGAGGGGCCTTTGGCCAATCAGAAATTAGGAATAGCCTCCACCACCGGTTGCTTCTTCCTTAGATGGTACTAAAAGCGCCTGGTTAGAGAGGCCGGGGAATGTGTGCTTCGCTGTTTCTTCTTTGACTGGACCCCCCGAGCAAGACCCTCGCTTTCAGGCGGCTACAACCGTTCAATTTTCTCTTGACCAAAGTGGCATCCGGGAGAATTGAAAACAAGTCCCCGCTCTTCCAGGGACTGAGCGAGGCGCTATCTTTCAGTCACATTCTCTGTTATTCATCTCTAAAATGAGAATAATGCAAACAGAAGTACTGATCGTTTTTTGTTTTTAAATTTTAGATGTGGTCGACGAATAGCTGAGACCTGTAAGGTTTAGCTTTGCCTGTCTACCTAAGAAATATAGGTGGCTGTTAATTATTTTTTTCATATATGAGCAAATAATTAAGCTATTCTAATCGGCATATCTCCTAAAAGGAATTATTTTACTCGTAAGCTATTCTAATCGGCATATCTCCTAAAAGGAATTATTTTACTCGTTTTCAAAGCCAACTCATCCGTGACCTTTTATGCCGCATGATAGAGTATACCATTGTCTGTCAAAATATATATAAGTGTAACTATGTGTATACGTGTGTGTGTGTGTGCTACTTCATGAGGAGGAAGAGGTTTTTAATTGTTTAAAACTGCACCAGCATGCTAAAGATATAGTATCCAGAGACACTTTTAATTTCTCCTGAGGCATGACTCCATCCTGCCCAAGACCACCACTGACCATTACACAATATACATCCTGGACTGGCTTGAGCATTAAAGATTCTCACTGGAACCCACAGCCACTAACAATGGCGATGAAGAGTATATGCCACAATAAAGTTTTAGAGTAAAATGCCACACAATTCTTTGTTTCTCTTACAGCAAAATAACATGCCACCTCCTTGCAAACTAGTAGAATGAGATTCCCGTTATTTCTATAGGCATTTCTTTCATTCTAAGTCTCTGATGAGGGTCAAGACGTCCCAAAGCCAATAGGGATAGAGTTCCATCCATGGGCTTCCAGGCCCATATTCCTCGTAAGACCATTGCTGCTGGCAATGTCCCCTCTAACCTGTGCGCATGCTCATGCATGAGACTTGGTCTCTTGTCAGAGCTGACTTGCTTCTTCCCCTAGCCCGTCAGCCGATGATGGTCAGCTCCAGGTATTGTGAGCAACTGCGGTTCAAGAGCCACCCTTCTGCAGAGGAGAAAACACAAGGGCTCTGTGTGTGTATGAGAGAGGGAGGGATGTCAGTGCCCCTGTTTATTGACCCCCAAACATGGGGACCCAAGCTGGGGCACTTTTATTATTTTTATTTTTATTATTGAAAAAGAAAAAAATATATAGAAAGTGCTTTAACAAAAAAGTGAAATACAAAAATAAAACATTAATATGTCATAACAGTAAATAATTACAATTCTATATGTACTTATCTAATGCAAATATTATTCTAGTATGTATATATTTCTAATACATTTATGTGATTATCATGTTTTTTTAAACCTACTGTATTTTGTATAAATGAGTCCCATATTTTATTGTACTTGTCCATACAAAGTCTATGTCTATAGGCAATCCGCTTGTAAGTAGCAAGGGCATTCAGGTCTTCAATCCACTGAATAAATGGGGCCATACATTTATCTTTCTAAGCTGGGGCACTTTGATGTTGGAAGGATCCAGCACACACACACTTTGTCACACCTGCACTGCCCTCCGAGCCCTTCCCATGCTTCCTTCAAGTATCTATAAACTCAGAAGCATCCATACCTCCCCCCCCCTCTTGTGGAAAAAGCCACTGCCTCTGTCAAGAACCACACTAGGAAAGGTAAGGGGCTGCTGGCTGTGCCTTCCAGGGAACCCAGGCAGCACCCCATCTCTGTCCCATGCTGGCAAGGCAGCCTTCCCAAAAGAGCCCTTCCCAGTCTGGAAGCCTATAAGGAGTGGCTTCTTCCAATATCCTAACCCAAGGCCGGGACTTGACTAGGGCCAGAAGCGGGCTAGACCACCTGTTCCCAGAACTGATTAGCTGGTAATGCTTGCAGGAAACTCATCTGCAACTCAAAAGGCCAGCAGCTTTGCTCAGCAGCTGCTATCCAGAGATGTACTGCTCCTGTACACAGAGGATCCATTTAGCTAGCAAAGCTTACCATTATAAGAGGCCTCTCCTCATAAGATTCGTTTTTCACTGGTACACACATGTATTTTTTGCTCACATCACTTCTAAAATGTTCCCTTTTCTGGTCTTCCCTTCTCTTTTCTTCCCTTGTTTGACTCCAGATGGTCTAATGGAAGTATATGCACATGTGGAAGCAACCAGGCCCAAGCCAACCCAGTTGCTGCTCAGAAGACCTGCTGACTTGTGCATCGATTTCCCCAGCTTGAAAGGAGCATTAATTGCTGGTGTGTTTAATTGAATTATCAATATCACCCTTCACTTCTTGAGTCTTTTGATGGCAAATTATTCAATGATGGTTTCCCAGGTGATTAGGATACATGTCAAATGAAGAATCCAAATGAGGTACACTGTAAATGCTTTTGCCTAAACGGAATGATGGAATTGTTGGTATTTGTTCGAAATTGGATTCATTATGTCAGCAAATGTTCTAAAAATAAACATACAGTACACACCTTATTGAGCTATTGCCAAGTAAATTTGCCTAATGAACTGATGCATCCCTTGAAAGAAATTCAGCAACTCCAAAACAACAAACAAACAAAAACCCCTTTCTAATTTTGGACAGGCTTGATGACTTTGCTTTGATCTGCTCTGTGGGGCTCTGTATCTTGCTCAGAAAATGAAGTTTGTGTATCATTAACAAAAGATTTTCACTGGCATGAAGAAAGAACATCTAAGCTTCACCTCAACATCCGTTTTGTAATTTTACCCCACCCTAATATTTTTACTTTTTAGTCTATCAAATAAAGTGTATTCTTTTCAACTGAATTGAATTACTGGGGTGTGTGGTGGTAGTATCTTTCCCAGTGGTGTTTCCTGAGTTTGACATTATATTCCAGATCCAGGACATATAACACAAGTCCTCATTAGAATCAGAAAGCTGACCTCAGTCAGTGCTGTGTTCTTGACTGTTAGATATACAGGTTTGTTTGTTTTTTAACAATGGACATTTTAAACACCTGACTTGCAATTCGAATACTAAATCATTCCAAAAGAGCCCTTTGAAGTAGGCTACTCCAGAGTAAACAAACTGGTTGCTGATTCCAAACAACCAACCTGGATATACTCAGTTCAGCTGAACTTTAAATTCAGGGCCATAATTTGAATTCTGTAAATGTGAACATTTCCAGAAGAGTAGCTGCCTTAATCTATTGCAGCAAAAAAAAAAAAAAAAGTTAACAGCGTTTAAAAATTTGCAGTTTTAAATGGGAATATAATCATGGCCTCTTAAAATTCACTTTATTCTCTAATGTAACTCCTCAGTTGTATACTGTGATATGGTTTCAGTGCTCTTTCCCTTTGTAAGCCACTTTGTTTTTTACTGATTGATTTATTTTACTCTCTTTGAATGAGGAATCCCTCCCCAGGGTGAGTTTTAAAATCAGGAACCAGTAAAAGGTCATAAGTTCTGTATGCCTGTTTTGCTCTTTGCTTTTGGTTTAGGATTCTGATAAAAAATGATGCTTCTTCCAAAGTCCTGCAAAGGAGTGCTTTAGAGGTTCAGAGATGGCATTTGAACCCCAATGCGACTCATTTGTGGCTTCAGTGGCAGAAGAGGTGAGCGAGGGAAATGTACTGGGAAAGGGAATGTACTAGGAAAGGAAAGCTGGAAGATCAAATGCTTTGAAGGCCAACTGCTCTTCTGTGTGGGTTTTGTTCCTTTTCATTTTCCTCATAGGCAGGATCCCTTAACCCATCTTCCTATTCTGGCACTGCTGATGCCAAGGCAGCTTATGAGTTCAGAATTGAGCCAGCCAGCCCCAAGCCAGAGATGCCCCTGCTCCTGATTTCAAAGCTGCTCAGAGTCCCACCAGGAAAAGGTATGGAAGGAAGGGAGCTTCTGGAGCCATTCCAGCTATTCTGCCCATCCTGGCTTGACATTTCCTCAGCCTTACAGAGAAACTTCTGCAGGGTCCAGCCAGCTTTCTCTGACCCCTCCACCGACGCTAACAACACAGGCCAGCCTCACCACTGAAAGGAGATACGGAATTTAGGGAATGAGGTGACCTGTCCTCAGGCGGGCTGTTGGCTCCCTACAACCCCCAACAAAAGAAAGGGACGTTTTCTTTTTGGGCGAGGATAACTTCAATGATTTATCCATACTCTTTCCACTATGTGAGAGATGACTGACAAGAAAGACAGTTCTTCTAATGAATTGTCCACTGAGTTTAGTTATCCTTGTACAAGCCATCTGCTTACTTGACATGCTAAATTTCATTCTCAGAAGATGAGGGCTGTTTTTAAAAAATAATTAAATGGCCCAAGGAATTATCATACTTGTAATCGTTCACATTTCTGCAGCTAATCAAAGAATGAGAGATTTACTCTTGATTATTTAAAGAAAGAAATTGCTAGCATGTGCCCCCTTAATTCTATATTATTTGGGGACCAAAGCCTTGGACGGTGTGATAAGGCAGTAAAACCAAAGAGTTAGAATTTACTTCCATTTACATACAACTTTTCCCAACCTGGCATCCAATACAACTGTATTACAGTTGTGATTCTTATCACCCCCAACTAATATGTCATTGAGGACAATGGGCATTGTAGTCTAAGAAGACAGCTCTAATTTAATGAAGGCTGTTATGAAGGCTGGGGAATGATGAGAGGTTAGTAATGTAACACATCTGGAGCCACCAAGTTGGGAAAGATTGCTTTGGAGTACCCAATTCCACCCATCTTC